GAGAATAGCTTAAAACCAGCAGACAGAGGTTGCAGTTAGCCAAGATCGCGCCATTGCACTTCAGCCTGAACAACAAACAGCAAGAGTGAAACTCCATCTCACACACAAAAAAAAAAAAAAAAAAAAAAAAAAAAAACAAAAAAAAAACAAAAAAAAAAAAAAAAAAAAAAAAACAGAAAGAAAACAAAATAAAAAACCGGTTTCTTTTAAAAAAAAAAAAATTACCTCGTGTATCAGCTTTCTACCTATGTAACATTTTCATTCATATTCTTTCTTATTTTTTCTCCTGTCTCAGACAGATAGGTGTTTCTGATATGCTGAAAGCCATCTTTATTTTTTCCAGCAACTTATTTCTTCATGTATCTCTTTTCAATATTAGTCTATCCCTCTATATTGGTTATATCTCTTAACTTACAAATGTTCCATGTGTAAATCTCTTCTGATATTTGGTGAACCCCAGAACAAAGAATGTTACATGAGGAAAAGGTTCTTTGGTCAGTACATTTGGAAAACTCTGCAGTACAATTTGGGAAGAGGTTTCTACTTACGGTGGCTACTTTTTCACCTTTTGTTCATCACTTAATTCCAAGTATTTTCACTTTCCTTTTCACCACTCTATTGAAAATGCTTTTGATAAGATCGCCTAACTGACTTTTTTTTTTTTTTTTTGAGATGCAGTTTTACTCTCTCTCATTCAGGCTGGAGTGCAGTGGTGCAGTCTTGGCTCACTGCAGCGTCCACCTCCCAAGTTGCTGGGACTACAGGTGCGCACCACCACACCTGGCTAATTTTGTATTTTTAGTAGAGGTGGAGTTTCTCCATGTTGGCCAGACTGGTCTTGAACTCCTGACCTAAGATGATCCGCCTGCCTTGGCCTCCCAAAGTGCTGGGATTACAGGGGTGAGCCACTGTGCCCAGCCTTTAACTGACAAAATTAATGGCGTTCATCTTACTTGCCCTCTGCTGCAGTTGACAGTTGACAATTCTTATTTTGAAACTTTTATTCTCTTAGCTCTTTAGATTGTTATTGGTAGTTTTTTTTTCTTTTTCTTTTTCTTTTGTAAGACTTGGCCTTTGTCCTGCCCTCAAGAACTCTCCCAAGCTGTGTCATTGACTCTTTCTTCTTTTATTCTTCATAGTGCTCTTTGATAATCTCACATCTTCAATACTTCAGCTCCTCCCTAGTCACGTTTGACTCCTGGATACTTTTTTTCCCCTTCCTAGTCCTCTGCATTCATTCTATTATATTTCTGGTTTCTTCTGAACATCTTCATCTCCATGACATAAGACTTAAAATTCAACCTGTCTAAAATGAATACCAACACCAAGTTAGGCATCCTCCCTGTCTCACAGAGGCAGGGCAGGTTCCTATAAAAAATAAAAATGTGAGCCCATATGTTTTCCTTTAAACTTGTTTTTCATTCACCCGTACCTGCACACACTCACTCATCACAACTATATGCCACTATATATCTTGGTTATTGATAACATTCGGTGTCTAATTTGTGGTGTCTTCTTTACCCCTCACTTCCTTACCTGCCATAGCCTTCAGCTACTAAGATCTGTTGCTGGTTTGAAATTGTTTTTACTCTGTTAACTGAGTTACAATGTAGGTCCACCTTTAATTCTTGCTTGGATTATTATATTGTGGTCTCTTAGCTGGTTTCCTGCTTCTAGTCTTCTTTTTCAAACAACTACCTGATTGTCTAATCTTGCCTCTCATCTTTGTCATTGGGGGGTGGGGGAGGATGTCAAAATCCGTTATGAAGGCGTCCAAGCTGCCTCTTGCGCTTGTTCCTGTTTATTCCTGCATACCTACAGAACTACTTGCAGTGCCATGCAAGTACCATCTTGCTTCTCCTTTGAATATTCTCTTTGAATATTCACCTTGCTTGGTGTACCCTTCCTTCTGTCTTGACTTACCAAACTTGTCTTTTAAGAATCAATTCAGGCCGGGCGCAGTGGCTCAAGCCTGTAATCCCAGCACTTTGGGAGGCCGAGGCGGGCGGATCACGAGGTCAAGAGATCGAGACCATCCTGGCCAACATGGTGAAACCCCGTCTCTACTAAAAATACAAAAACTAGCTGGGCGCGGTGGTGTGCGCCTGTGGTCCCAGCTACTCAGGA